CTGATGAGTAAGGGTCAGGGAGGGCTTTGCCAATGAAAAACAGGGTATAGGAAGGGTTATACAGAGCTCAAACAGAGCACTGAGGTCAGGTTGGAGTCTGCTCAGATGAATCACCCTGATCCCTCACCCTACACCCCGCTCCTTGAAGTCTTCAGAGCTTAGCAAGATGAACAAAGATCTCCCTAGGCTCTGGGCTATGGCCACATGACCTGAAGACCTCCGTTTTTTCACGAGGCTCTCCTTCCTGACATCAGCAGCGCTGTGTTTCCTCACTGCCTCCTGAAGTGCAGGCAGCCTCATCGATGCACAGCAAAGCATTTTCCCAGTGAGAAAACATAGCAACAAATCCAAACGCCAACCCATACATCTGATCCTGGCCTATTTCTCATTGTCCCTACTCACTGCCTTCTCAGGATCACAACTGGGACTTGCTGGGGACAGTCTGGGCTCAGAGTGAAATGGGAAGAAGAGATCAAAGCAAGTTCAGGTACCTAGAAAGATTTCCCTCTCTGCCCAAGGTCTGGGAGCACTTCCATTTCAGCATTGTTCCTGCTACTGATGTAGAGGGATGGGGAGACAGGAGGGACTGAGAGGTTCAGGAAGCCCCCTGAAGGGCACTTTCATTGGCCGTGTTCATATCCAGCAACTGTGCCAGGCACAATTTGGGTTAGCTCATGACACAATTGCAGGACACCTGCTCTGTGCCAGGCACTGAGTAGGAGGCACAGGGACAGGCAAGATGAGGAAGATGCAGTTCTTACTCTGGAGGGCTCACCCCCAACAGGGACACAGGCATGCCAATAGAGTTCTTGATGGGAGAGCCCACAAACACGCAGAGAACATTCATCTACAGTGGTCAATGCAAATATAAAAGCAAAGGGATGAAGAGGAAAGACATTTAAGGGGTAAAATCTCCTGTTATTGTGGTTGACGTGGATGAGGATAGGATAGTGTGCAGGAACAAGAAAGAACACAGGGTCCTTTTCCTACTTTCCCCATTCAGGTTCCCTTGCTCTCTGGTTTCAGTTTTCACATCTGTTTGATGCCGCTGGGAATCTGCCCAGATGCTCCTGTATATCCTATTTCTGTGACTGGGATACGCCAGGTATCAATTGCTCCTTAGTGTTGCTCCATTTATTCAGCACCTACTGTGTGTCAGGCAGTGATGATCACTTTCTGGACTTTTTAGCACAGTCCTCACAATTACTCTGTTGTAAAGGCATTATTGTTCCCATTTGAAATGCGAGGACGCTGAGGATCACCGGGAGTGTCTATGTATTGGCTACGCAAAGAGATTGAGAGACCTTTGTAATTGCCCCTGGGCAATCCCACCCAGTCTCCGCTTTTTCTTTCTTTTTTTTTCTTTTTTCTTTTTTCTTTTTTTCCCCCGGAATTAGCTCAAACGGACGTGCCTGAGTTTTCCGTCTGTTTGACCTTGGGTTCCAGGGCACCACTGCTCCCCTCCCCAACTTCCTCACCCAGAGTCAATATTAGGTTTCAATGTTTTGTTTGAAAGCCTGTGGAGGTGACTAGGCCCAGCACCTGCAGAAGGTGGGTGGCTGGACACCAGGAGGAATACTTAGACTCACCGACGCTGATCCGAAAAGTAAGATCGCCTGGAAGTAACACAAACGTCTTCCCCCTCTCGCATTTGTGAAAGTCCCCTGAAGTAAGGCTTAGATTCGGGAAGAGTATTCTAAGGTCTCATATGAAGCCAGAGGCCACGTGCAGGGCACACGTCCGCAGCGTAGGGTCTTTCGTCTTCCACTGGGTCCGCGCGGCCCAAGACCCAACCTACAACCTGTGACAGAGTCCCACGCCTTCCCTCCGCCCCGCACCATCCCCTACCACCACTCCATTAAGGCAACAATTAGGGAACGGGGTGAGGTTCCCTCTCCATCTGGGTAATTATGTTCTCATTAGGAGCGGATGCGCCTGGGCTCTGAGCATTAGCGCTCCAGAGCAGCTTGGAAGGCGCGCTCCCAGCTCGGCTAGTGGTGGAAGCAGCAGCTGGGGAGCAAGCGAGCTGGGGGGCCAGCGCGGGGCCCAGCGCATCCCGGCGCTGCTACGCAGACAGCAGAGACCACAGCGATCACCCTCGACTCCTCGCCTGCGCGGCTCCCTCGCGCTTAGCGCGGTGTGGGGAACCGGGCGGAGTAGCCAGGTCTGGGGTCGTTGGGTCCTAGAAGCCTCCCTGAGTTCCTCTCACCGTACCTTTAAGCCTGGCTGGGTGCCGGAAACGCTGCACAGAGTAAGACATAGCCTCTGCCCCTGGGAGAACTGGCGGGGTGCGGGGAGGGAGGAGGCAGGCTGGTAATAGAGGCCGCACTCCGAAGAGGGAGGCTGGAGAAGAAAGGCATGGAAGGCTTCTAGGAGGAGGTGACCAAGATGACCTGAGCTGGGGAGGAGCCTTTGGAACCAGGGTAAGGCTGAATGAGGAAGTGGCCTTGGAACCCCTACAGGCTCTGATCTGTATAATTTTATTTTAGATGAAAGCAAGAGGTGGGGCCGCGATCCGTAAGGGCCCAAAGGATTCTAAGCATGACAGAATGCCACTGTGAGGTGTGGGTTTCAGAATCGGTCCCCTCCCTAACCTCTGACTGGGGGCAGGAAGGGAGTCTCTACCTAGTGCCCCTCCTTTTCCATCCCCCTAAGGCCTTGAACCTCCAGGTCCCTGGTGAGAGCTATCCACAGCCCCACTCAGGCCACTGGGAGGTTCAGGCCTGATGGTAAGGGCAGTTGGGGAGATATGGAGCCCTGCATCTTCCAAAAGCCCTCTGGGGCAACTCGCCACGTTAGCACCTAAGTGCTGTGTGGGCTGTCTCTGCCCCGCGGAACCCACGCAGAGTAAAAGACAAGCCCAGCCCCAGATGTCTCCCTTCCCAACCAGCATGAAACAAGGCCTGGTTGGAAGATGTAAAAGGGGTGTTGAACCTCAGGGAAGCAATGCTTGTGCTGGGTGGACAGAACATCTTCCCAGAGGAGGTAGCCTTTCAGCTGGGCTTCTTGGGTCCTCAGCAGGATAGGATTTTGCAAAGTGGAGGAGAGAAGGGGTGCTTGAACTTCAATCAGAGCAGCAGGTGTGGAGGCATAAAGACAACAATGGCAGATGAAGTCATCCTGATGGCAAGGGAAGGAGTCAGCAGGTGGAGAAAGAAGAGGGAGTCTAGAACTCAATTAAGAAGGGTCTCCACTACCAAGTCTGGACATTGTGGGAGGCAGGAATCCTTTCCCAGGAAGGAGGTCTGCTTAGCTACAGCAGAATCAAAGGAAAATCAACCCCTTTCCTTCCAACTTGGGGACAATTTTCTCCCACTGTACTCACCTTCCAGGCTCCAGAGCTGGGGATCAGGAGTGAGCCCCAGTTCCGGGATGCACAGGTTTCCCCTGGCCTGCACCCAGCCAGAGGCCTAGCACTCAGGAGCTGCCACTCAGCAGCCACTAACCACAGACTGCAGCCGGGACTCACCCAGGCAAAAGAATCTGCAGACTCCTGGTCTGGGAGTAGAGGAGGGCTGGATCCACAGAGCAGGAGGAGATGTTTAGATTTCTCCCTGTCTTGATATGGATGGGCAAATTTAGGGCCTGAGAGTGGACTTGCCAAAGTCACTCCACCCGCACAGAGCCTGGTGGTCCCACAGAACAGGAAGTCATGGAGACCAGAACCCTGGTGGCTCTCGCCCTAAGGAAGAGAGGTGACCCACCCACCTGCAGCCCAGCGAGCACCAAAGCCTTCAGGGACAGCTTCCTTGAGCAGTGCCTCTCCAACCTGTAGGACCCCAGAGCTTCGCGCCTACACTCACCCTACTGATCGTAGGGTCTCCACGTGCCAGGAGGGCTGACTCTGCACCAGCAGAGCTGCTGGGTCGAGCTAGTTTTGTTGCCAAAGGCTCCAACTGTCTCCAACCTCTCCCTCCCAACCAGGAGAGTGCAGAGAAAGCACGTCTCTTCCTTAAAAGCACAGTTTTTCTTTTAAATCCCTTTAAGGCCCCTTATTCTTTCTCATTCCCACTTCCCTGGGGCCTGACAGGATAGAAGGGAAACTATTGGGCCGAAACAGAAAAGTACTCGGGTCCACTCCTCACTGGCGAAGTCCCTTCCAGAGATAGGAGCGGACCCGGGGCCACTGGGTTGCGAGGGAGCCCGCTAGAGCGCTCGGAGGCTCTCCCGATTGCACGCGCAGAAGAACGAGCCCGGGTTTCAACAGATCCCGGGTTTCAACAGAGGCCCTGTGCTCCGTGAATTTCTAACTCGAAGGAGCCACTGGGATAAATCCATCCGAGAAACGTTGCTTATTTTTTTTATTATTAACTCTCCCTTCTCCCCACGCCCCTAGAGAAAATTAAATTCATTTTTAAATATTGGGCCAGGAAAAAGTTTCTCTCAAAGGAACCACAATTGCAGGGACCCACCCGGCTGCGGTTCCCAGCTCCCGGCCCTTCGCTCTAGGCTGCTCCGGCTCCCGACCTCCCCGCTGCCGAAGCAACTGGGTCAGCCTTCCAGACTTAAAACGAAGTCGTTTATTTCAATTTTGCTTTCACATTATGTTCCGATACAATCAAGACTCCTGGACGAACCTCTTGAATAAAGTCCTGTGAATGCGCGGAATCATAGGTCCTGGGCGCCAGAGTACGCGGCGGGTGGACTCTGGATTCAGAGGCGGTATATAAAACTTACGCGGCTTCGCTGCTTCGGGAACTGCAGGGCAGACGCTGTAGGAGGCATCCGGGGACAGGAGGCGTGTGGAGTCTGCCGGTCCAGGCAAGATGGTTTGAGTTTTCAAGCTGGGACTATTCCTGATGCATTTGGAACGCAAAGAAAAAAATCAAACTTAGCTCCCGGGCCGGCGGCCGCTCTGAGACGAAGCCCTCGCGCCCAGGCCTTTCTCTTGTTGCGTTCCCCGAAGTCTCCTGCCCCTCGGAACCTCGCCCTCTGGCACCCCCGACCCCCAACCTCGCAGCTGGAGAAAATGCGGAGTTTAGAAAGCCATTTCCGAAAAATAAAAGTCCCACTTCGACTTTATTGGATTAAAGCAAAATTAAATCTTGGCTATTCACACGTATGTTACAGAGGAAGAGGAAGCGTCCGGAAGAAGCTCCTTGGCGTTTCATGGAGCCACAGAGCACGACGGCATTGACAAGCATCAGAACATCAAGCAGCCTTAGATTTCACGATCACTCCGAATAGGACATAGAAATACGGAAACACAGCCAGTTTCCACTGGGAAGAGTTCTTCGTGTACAAATGATATATATTCGTATTTTTTAAACCAGTCACCACTAAGGGTGAGTCCTTTCTCTGCTAACAAGTAGCCGAGGATTCAAAGTATCTTCAGCTAATTAACTTGAGCGGTGTTTTAAGAAGAGCAACACTTGTCAAATTAAAACTACCTCCCCCATCCAAATAAAAAATAAGTAAATAAAAAACTCCCTCTTCAAACGGAAAAAAAGGTTGGGGGCGGGCAATATATTAGATTTCAGTAGGTAGAAGAATTCAGAGGGGGCTAGGGAGAAAGATTTCAGAATATGTAGTGAAATACAGTTTCTTCAAATAATTTGCAGGGAACATGAAGTTAGGGATAAGAAACAATGACAAGGCAGTCTCTTTCTTGATTACTGCAACTGGCATGGGGAGGCGAGTTTATTTTTGGAAATGGGAGTGCACAGAGCTAAGCGGAATTTATTTCTCCTAATAAGGAAAAGGACAAAGTTGTCCCACCGCTGGGCTTGCACCTTTTCACCCAGATACAGTTAGGGAACATGTAAGAAGTTTCAAGTCGTGTTGTTTTCTCGCCCTCTTAATTTCAGCCTCTTTCTCACTCCCCTTCCTGCCTTCGCCCTCTCCCTGCCTCCCTTCCGGCTGAGCCAGTCAGAGAGGAAACACGAGGAATCCAGAGAAGGTCGAGTACTTCCAGCCCCCCATCAAGTTTCCCCGCTCTAGCTTGAGGTATGCTCGGTCGCCTTTCTCCATTTGGATTAGGACTCCGTTGCTGGCGGCCTCCCGTGTCACGTCCTGGTCACCAGCGAAGGCTGAAATCACCGGCCACCCGTTTAGCATGAGGCTCACCTGAGAAAGAGAAAGGCCCGCTTCAGAGGCGCAACCTAGGTAGGCACCGAAGCTGCGGTGGAGCGAACCTCCCCGCACTCGGCTGACATCCTGTAAGGCCTGGAAGCACGGAGGGTCGGGGGACGAAAGGAGGAAAGGGGGCTTTGCAGCTTACTGCTGAGGCACCAGTGGGGCGAAAGACCTAACACCTGGGTGAGAGTAAGGGTCTGTTCCCAAAACGGGAGTTGCTCTTATTCCAGATTCTCGAATGAGCGCTCCAAGCGAATCTCGACTGTGCTCTGTGATCCAATTTAATAAACCTGTGAGGTGGCTCTAGCGCCCTGAGACCTTTGACCTCTCTCCTGTTTCCCCTCAGCCTCAAAAGACAAACAACAAACAAAAACACCCAGCAACTCGGGGTCCTTCCAGCGCTCCCGGAAAAACAAAAATGAACAAACAAAAAGCCCCTGATCCCTCCTGGTCCCAGTTATCAGGACGCGGTGGAGAAGACACTGTGATTTTCTGATTAGAAATTTCGCTCTCGGCGGCACTCCGTATTTCCTCTCCAAAGCAGGGGCTCAATTCCCGCCCCCATCCAGCCGCGCCCGCTACTGTCTGGTTTTGCCCTTGTGGTGGCAGCGTCAGCCAAGGGCCCGTGCCCTCTCCCCAGCTGTGTGTCCCGCTTCTCTCAGCGCCCAAGGGAAACCTGGACACCTTTAGGTACCTGGAGAGCAGGCGAGTGCTTACTGGGACAAGGCTGGAGCCGGGAGAGAGTGGCACTAACGCCCCCTCCCTCCCTCTTCTCTCCATCCCTCACCCTCCAGGGCCAAATGCTGCTAGCTCAAACCCAGAATCAGCATGGGGTAAGAATTGGGGGCAAGTCGGGGAAAACAGGTGCCCTGTCCGTGGTGCTGAAGACAAGTACACTAGCAGCCTCTTTGGCTTCTGAGCTGGGGCAAGGGATCGGGGGTACAGTCGACGGTACTTCCCCGGGAATCCGGGAAGGTTTCCCAAGTGGCAGCTGTATGGGGCGCTAACAACAGCGGTTACAAAGAAGTGCCTGCAATCCAGGAACCCTTCGGAGGGGCCCAGAAGGCGGAGGCAGAAAATTCTGCCTCTGGGGGTTATGGGGCTGGATCCCAAGAGCCAGAGACAAGGAAAGTAGAGGGCAGCTGAAGCCGCAGAACTGAGAGGCCCAGCTATTTGTCCCTCCAAGCAGCCCGAAGCACATGCAGCAGCCACTCCTGCCTCCCACCTCCGGACAGCCCGAGCACCCCTGCGGCCAGTTACCCCCTACGGGGCCAGGGCCCAACCCGAGGCAGCAGCTGACCTGGATGGTCTGTCTGTTGTAGACTTTTACCACGTGGAAGTTAAAACTGTAGATCCCTTTGCGCGGGGCGATGAAAGTGCTGCGTTCTGAATCAAAGTTGTTCCCAATGTTCACTAGCACCTACAACGAGACAGGAACGAAGGGGAGCGGGCAGGAATCGGTCCCGGACTGTCGTACCCGCGCCTCTGCAGAGCCCTTGGAGAGGACCGGGCAACGGTCTTCCAGCCACCCCTCCCTAATCAGCCCAATCTGCACACAGCGGGAGGACGGAGCACTCACCTGGTCGAAGTAGATGATCATGGTGCGATTACTCATCTCGGATGGCTCGTGATTGGTGCTCCTGATGGCAGAGAAAGCCACCTTGGCGCTGCCGGAGCGCACAGAGATGCCCAGGGCTGTGCCCGTGGGGTCCGACGTGGGGTTGGAGTCGCATACCACCAGGCACTTGCCTTCCAGCACGATGGGCTCTGTCTCATTCTGCCCGCGGGCCGGGCCCGCCAGCCACGCAGCCCCCAGCAGCAGCAGCTCCACGACGCCCAGCATCTCGCCGCCGGCGCCCACCCCGCCCCCCACCCCGGGGCTGCTTTCGCCAGCCGCCCCCCAGCCCCAGTCCCGCTCCGAAGCCCCCTCCTCGGCTCCGTGCGCAGCTCCGCCGCCGCCGCTCTGGACGCTACTGCTCTTCCTCGCACTCCGGGACGAGCGTCCCCTTCGCGCTGTGTTCCCGGAGCCCCGCCCGGGCCTCAGGGGTACCGCGGCTGCCCAGCCGCACTTGGATGCATAGCCGCTGCTGCTCGGTCCCGCTGCTGCCGCCGCCTCCTGCCCGCACCCACCGCTGCCGCTGCCACCACCGCTCTGAATTATTGATGCAGCCGGCGCCGCAGCCGGAGCGGGCGGAGAGCGCGCGCCGGGCACAAAGGCGCGGACCGTGGCCTGGCCCCGCCCCCGCCGCCTTCTGGCCTGCCTCCCTCCGAGGCCCCGCCCCCGCCCCGGCAGTGGTCACGCCCCGCAGCCAATCCTGACGCCCCGCGCTCCCCACCGAGCCAATAGTGGCGCTGTCCGCGCGCGGCCACCTGACCCCGGGAGCCGTTGTTATTAGGCGCGGCGAAGCGGGCGGCGCGCGGCAGCAGGGTTGGGCTCTGGCCTGGAGTGGACGAAGGGAGCGCGGGCGGGGAGCGCGGGCGGGGAGCGCGGGCGCGCGCCCGCGTCCGCGCCCGGAGGGTCCGCCGTGGCCGCTCGCTTTCTCGCCTCCCGCCTGGAGCCTCGATCCTGTTCCGCCCCCTCGGCCCTCTTGCCCGCCCCACTCGTCGGCCCTCAGGTAGGAGGCGGCGCGCGCCCGGGTCGGGAGTGGAATCGCTGAGGGCTGCGAGGCGCCCGCCTGCGTGTGGGCGAGCCGGGTGGGAGAGGAGCGCCCCCCAGCGGGCGCGGGCGCGAGGGCAGCCGGCGCGGGGGGCGAGCCTAGCGCAGGGTAGCGGCGGCCGGGCTGCTGGGCGCGTGCGCGCGCGGCGGGGCGGGGCCTGCGCGGCTCCGGGTGGGCGCACGTGGTGCCCAGAAGCTGCCGGCCTGGCATTCGCCGCGGGGACTCGGTGCGGAGCCGGGGCGCCAGGCGTCTCCGCTCCCCCTGCCCCAGCCGGCGGCCGCGACGGTGGAACTTGGCCTGTCACTCTCTCCCGCCTCCCGCAGCAACTGCCCCGCGGGCCGCGGGAGTCAGATCCAGCGGTCATTCATTCATTTCTTCATTTGTTCACTTATTCAAGAGAGATCACTGAACCGGTACGGAGTACCGGCTACTGAGCTGGGCGCTGAGGACGCGGGGCTGAGCAAAAGCAACCGAGGCTAGCCTTCGTGCCCCTTAAAATCCAGCTTGCGGGGCGGTAACAAGTACTGCTTTTATATTTTGCACTTAAAATTTACATTTTGCATTTATACTTTTTATTTATTGTGCACCCTTAAGGCGCGCTTTATGCGCACGTACCTGCACAGCCTTTTCTTGAGTGTAGACACCAGATCCTGAGATTTATGGGCAATTTTTCGAGAATAATTTTTACCCTAAGTGGATTTTCGTCCCACGCATGGACTTGGAACTACACACACCTAGTCAAAAACGTGAAAGTCAAAATGCAGCTTTGCCAAGTTTCGGGGAGAGTGGAGAGCTGCGGAGATTGGGAGAGGAAGGGCGCGCTCCAGGCGTTCCAGCCCGGGTGCGGGAGAGGTAGCCCTGAAGGGTGAACGCTGGCGGATAACCTGGCAACGGGAGGGCGGGCGGACCTGTCTGTCAAGTACAAAGCAGAAATGCGGCTCCGGACCCCAGACTGAGGCCGGCTGGAACGCTGCCCACTGGCTCTAGGCGCTTGGGTGCCCGCCGGGCGACCTTGAACCTGGTGTGCTCAGCGAAGCCAGCACAGCCTCGGGAGCTGTAGAGACGCGAGACACAGGCAGAGCGCTCCTGCCCTCGGCCTAGGGGTTCGCCTCTGGCCTGGATGGCCATTCCCAGGGTACGCTGTCCCCCAGCTTTGGGATCGCCAGCAGCCAAGTCTATGCTTCTAGATATCTTTTGTTTTTTTGAGACTTCATTGATAGCTGTTTAAGGAATTATATGGAGGAAATCTCTTCTCCGTCCCCTGCCTCCGTTGTGAGCCCTGCCTGGTCGATGGATGGACCCGGAGGAAAGGAAGGGGCGGGGAAGAAGCAGCAATTTTACTTTACTTTAAATTAAAATGACACAAAAATATTTTTTCAACTCAGATTTTTCTGAGACATCCCCAGAAACCGTTGCCAGCTGTGATTACACCTAATGTGAGAGCATGAACTAATTTAAGAGGTGAGAGCTGAATAATGAGACCGCATCCTGGGTAGCGGCCAAGACTGGCAGCTCTGGCCGCGCCGCGCTGAAGGGGACCGTGAGGGACACCCTTGTACAACCAGCCCCTGGCGCCCTGGGGTCTTAGTGCCCTAGTGCTGCGTTGTCCATCACTTCAAGGTATTTACTGGGTGCCTCCTGAATGCTGGGTTGCAATCAAGAGCAAGAGATGGGGGCAGTGAAAGAATCTGTTTTCAGGAGCTCATAAGCAGGGTTACAATTACCCAGAGGGAGGTGGTGGCCAGCCTCTCCCTCTTCTTTTCATGCTGAGGCTCTGGTGGTTAATGCCCAAGCCTGAACTGCCATCTCTATGCCAGTGGTTACCCATCTCGTATTTTCAGTCTTAGTCTCTCTGGTTCAGACTTGTCATTCTAAGGGCCCTGTTTCACTGACTTACAGTCTCCTCCCTCCCTGCCTTTTTCCCTACCCCACGGACAACAGCTGCACCCACGCAGAGGTGAAAACTCTAGAACTCCATGTCTAACCTAACTCCCTTTCTGTGTCCTGTTGCTTGAGCCATTCTTATTAGGCCGCCTGTTCAGAGTTCATCATCTCCTAATTTTTCATCCAGGAATTGGTGAAGTATCACCTCCTGGCTCTCCCATACACTGTTTATTCTTTCATTTGATGATATCTGTTGAGTGCCGTGAGTAACTTCCACTTCCTTCCTATATAAGTGAGATTTCACATTGATTACTCCCTTGGCTTTCCCTGTCCCTTGTCCACATAGTATGTGTTCAAAATAATGAATGTTAATTTAATGTTAATAGACATGTGCTTTTCTGAATTGTGAGGATTAAATGAAATCCTGTATATAGGAAGGAAAATCCATTAGAAACCTCAAAAGCAGTCATGTTCATTTTTGCTATTGTCACATTGTTAGAGTCCGAATTCTTTTAGCTAGCTGCAAGTGACAAAACCAACTCAAACTGGCTTAAGGACTTTATTTAGTTGATGCAAAAAGCCTCAAGTTAGGTCCTGCCATTTAAGGTAGATCTGGATCTATCAATCAAGGTTACAGGATCAGTTTCACAGTTGTGGCTTCCTTCTCAGACAAGTTGTTTACATATGATAGCATCGTAGAACGTACTACCAGCTTAGTCCTAGAAAGAAAAAAGAATACGTACTCTTCAATATTTGCAGCAGAAGTCCCAGGTCTGTTCTTATGAGGGCAGTTTAAGTCACTTGCTCTTCTCTGAACATGGAGAAGAGACTATTTAGATGACCAAAGTTGGATTCAGGTGCATCCCCTGGAATGGGGTTTGGCATTAGCTTCACATGGTCTAGAATAAAGGGATTCTCCAAAGGAAAATTAGGGGAGGGATGTCGAGCAAGTGGAACCAACAGATGTCTCCTTTAGTCCTTTCCAAAGGGTGAGCTGCAATGCACTGCAGACTATCAGAATGGTGATGAAGACAGATACAGTAGTCAAGACAATAGATGTGTGTTTGTCATTATTTTTTTCGGTCTTCAAGACCACAGCTAAACATCACTATGATGTTATTTGAGGTTTAGCTTTGAAGTGTAAATGTACCTCAAACAGTAGAGCCAGATAAATATAAATAAATAATTGTAACAGTCTATTCTAAAAGATTTCTTTGGTAATATTCTGTTGGAATTGATTTCTATCTCTTCATTTGTTAGGTTCCTGGTAAGATGAAAATTTCATTTCTTTGTGGAAAGGTACCTAAAATTTCTCATTATTCACCAATTAATGAAAAACAAATGAAAATTTGAGAGAGAGATTCTGAAGAATAAAAGGATCAAGTTGGGTCATTTCTAAAATGTAAGACTATAAGGTTTAACTTGCTAAGGCTTTTGAGGGGTTGAATTATTGGCAAATAATTATAGAACCGCTTCTCTGAGGCTTTTAAAGTGATGTGTTGCAGAGATTTAGGGAACTGTAAGATTGCAGATAAAGAATTTATACTCTTACTGTTTTATACTTTACCTGCTGCTTTAAATGTGGCCTCCTATTTTGAAGTCAAAGGTTTATTTTCTCTCACTGCGTTCTAAATTTCCTACCACAGTGCATTTTGAGAAATGAATATAACAGCAGTCTTGATAGATGCCATATTCGTGGCAACTCTGTCCACCCCCCACTCTCCACACCACACCCTGGAAAAAACCAACCCTCTGTTGTTGGAATGAGAGAACATTTTCAGGAAAAGGGAACCATTTTCTCACAGGATATAGAACAAATTTATCCTTTTATTAATTCAAAATGGATTCTCTAATGTTTATACACATCAAACAGGATTTCATCTCTTTCAGTCTTGTTTCAAAAGCCCAGACAGTACCATTCCCTAGTATTTAGTACATTTGCTCATAAAGCAGAAAAGAAAGGCTACTTTGTTCTGAAGAGTGTTAGATTTAGGATTTCAAGGTTCAAGGTTATTTCAAATCAATGCCTAAACTAGACTATAAAATGCAGGAATTATTCTAAGTTGTCCAAATATGAAATCGTATTTTAACTTTCACCAAAACCTTTATCTTCTGGGTATATCTTTTTTTTTTTTTTTTTTTTTTTTTTTTTTTTTTTTTTTTTTTTTTTTTTTTTTTTTTTTTTTTTTTTTTTTTTTTTTTTTTTTTTTTTTNATTTTTAAAAGTTACATTTCAAAATAGTTTGTAATTGAACACTTTTATAAGATGTAGGAAAATGCAGTTTTACTTTTTAATTAAGGACTGGTCTGTTGATAACATCTTGATTCTTAAATTTTTTTTATCTTATAGAAATGAAACAATATATTTAAAGCGTCTTCAGGTCTTCTGTTATTACCAAGTTATGCATTTTCTTAGCCCATGTTCAGGAGAGACTATATATATTCTAAATTAAGAGCTACTGGCACCATTTTTAAAACAAGGCCTTGAATCTGCTGTGGTATGTGCTGGTAGAAATTTTGTATGAAGCTGTTATTGAAGTAGATGACATTAAGGTCAAAGAAAAAAAAAAAAAAACAGAAAATAATGTAATCCTACAGAGCTGCTCTTGAGAGAAAACCACATAGGTAACATCAAACACTAGTTGGAATCTTTCCAAGAAGTAATTATCTGTGTGCTGTTTGCAGTGGTTGATTATGGGGACAAACCAAGGTTTAGCCAATTCAGCAAACATTTATGGAGTGCCTGCAATGTACCCGACGCTGATTTAGGACCTGTGCCCACTGTAAAGATGACCCACACGATGCCTGGCCTGCAGGACTTGGTGTTTAGCGATAAGAAGAGATGCATACCTGAAAAGCCTATTTAAGACTCTTCTAGTTCTACAAAGACAGCTTCTTGAAAATGGTAGCTTTGATTATTCTTTGGATTTATTTACATTTGTCCTATAATCAGAAGGTATACAAAACGGACACATACACATATATAAAATTAATAGGTTAGAAAGCATTTAAACAAATATTTCAGGTATGTACTTGAAATGCTTTTGGCATTTATCAAAGAAATGGTAAGTGTTGTCATCCATGAGTGGCTGGATTAACATGTGGGGCAAGTTATCAGCAATTTTGTTAGGGATCTTAAGGAAATTTCCTGGATCTTGTATTCACTGGCAATTGTATAAATACTTCCCACAGCTCAGAGAACTAACAGGATGGAGTCTTAGAGAAAAGTCTTTTGAACCACAGACTTCTTTGTTACCAGAAGGAAAATGAAAGAAGGAATTTAAACACAGCTTGAAGGGAGGAAAATGCATGGGAAATGGGGCTAAGAGAGGGGATTTTTAAAAAAAAAAATTCATTAAGTGGAAAATATCCCCAAATGTTATTTCTAGTAGATTTCTTAGAAATTAGGTCAGAGGAGCTTGGTCTTCCCACCCACATCAGGCCTCAGTGACAGGTACTTGAACAACTGAGCCCCCTAATGTGCATGCTCCCCCACCCCTGAGCCAGTCTCTGCCCTCCTCTTCCCTCCTCTTGCCCCTGGAAGCTAATTGCCACCAACTGGCCTCTGGGTGGATTTGGCCAATGGAAGGCACCAGCAGAGAGAAGAGAGCAAGGTTAGGATATTTATTCCTGCTGTCTCTCTGCTTCCCTGCAGAGAGTGTGAAGAAATGACCCTGAAAAGTCTCTGGCAGAGGATTCTTCTTTCAGGATAGTGCCTCCTGCTCCATGGCCCATCCTCCTCCCCTGGGCTCAAGCTCTCACTCCAGTAACACTCCTTCCTCCCTCTCCATCTTCATGGGGAGGTTTGCCAGTCGTGGGTTCTAAGCATCTCTTGTTGATTCCCCCTGACCATGCCAACACCTCTGTAGGTTGTCCCTTCATTAAAACCTCTCCATTTGAGCTATGTGAGTTTAATTCCTTTTCCTCCTGGCATCTCAGGGAATACAGTATCAGTACAAAATCTCTCTTCACCTTCAGAACCAACAGATTTGAGATATTTTGTCATCTGTGGAACCAATAGTTATTTCATCACTGGTGTATCAGAAAAAAATCAGAAATGCAAACTCTTCTTTATTACAAATTCAGCTTTTCATATTACCAAAGTTATATATTTTAAACAAAACTATTCATCATAAGTTTTAAAAATTAACTACTGGAATAGTTAATAAATATGAATGTAATTATAGCTTTCATAATATTAAAGTAAATTGTAGCTTTCATAATATTAAAGTAAAAATACTAAAAGCAGTATTTCTTAAGCAAATGCTCAATCTCCAAGTAAATTTTATTCTGTGTTCTTACAGTACAAGAATGTGCTAATATTTTGAAGGAATGCCATATTATTTTGGGAACTCATAAAGCCATTTTGAGTTTTTGTAAAATGAAAACCTTACCAAAATGTGTTTCACTATTGGAAAGCTTGACAATTACTGCTATTTAATTTAGGTTCTGGGGTACATGTGAATAACATGCAGGATTGTTGCATAGGCACATACATGGCAATGTGGTTTGCTGCCTCCATCCCCATCACCTGTGTCTGGCATTACTCCCCATGTTATCCCTCCCCAACTCCCTACCCCCGCTGTCCATCCCCTATTCCCCCCAACAGATCCCAGTGTGTGATGCTCCCCTCCCTGTGTCTATGTGTTCTCATTGTTCAACACCCGCCTACGAGTGAGAACATGCGGTGTTTGATTTTCTGTTCTTGTTGTTCTTGCATCCGTTTGCTGAGAATGATGGTTTCCAGGTTCATCCATGTCCCTACAAAGGACACAAACTCATCTTTTTTTATGGCTGCACAGTATTCCATGGGGTATATGTGCCACATTTTCACTGTACAGTTTATCATCATTGAGCATTTGGGTTGGTTCCAAGTCTTTGCTATTGTAAACGGTGCTGCAATGAACATACATGTGCATGTGTCCTTATAATAGTATAATCCTTTGGATATATACCCAGTAATGGGATTGCTGGGTCAAATGGAATTTCTATTTCCAGGTCCTTGAGGAATCGCCACACTGTCTTCCACAATGATTGAACTAATTTACACTCCCACGAACAGTGTAAACGTGTTCCTATTTAATTTTTTAAGCTTGTAAACTTTATTTGTGCATGTTTACAACAAAGAAGGATTTTATTGTTATTACATAAAATAGGTGATTTCTAGATTTTAAAGTCACAGATTGAAAGCAAGGCAAAATAAAGTAGATTTCAAGATATAGATACTTACGAGGCATCCTTTTAGTTATACATGCAGGGTAACCATCTATTTTACGCCTACTGTCTACTATTGTTTGAGGTCCTTACCAAAGTATTGCAGGCTAGTTAGGAAACATAAAACAATTAGAAAGTAATCTTTGACAAGTAAGCTATCTATAAATGGCAATGAAAGCTAGAATAAATTCAATGAAAATATCTATTTAATCCTAGTGTTTACTGGTCTAGAAAAACAGGCTGAGTGAATTAGTATTTCTTTGGCTGTTGTGGTAGCATACTGCATGCTGTAACAGTTTTAAGTAATTACGGGTGCATTGAAATGTATCTACGGCTTTGTCACCACATTTTAAAATGTCCTGAGTACTTTTTTCTGACCTCAATTACTATGAAGTTGGTTTCCAATATTTAATGAACCAAGAATATCAAGATGATAGGGTATTATTAACGTGAGGCTCCCATAGCCTTTTCAATAAAGACCAGAATTCTGGAGTGTCTTGAACCTTAATCATTGATCCTTAATTTTTATTAAGTAACTGCTCACCTTTTAAAGACTGAGGCCCAGGAAGTGTAAGTTTCTCTGAGACAAGGCATTCAGTGCAGTGGTTCTTGGGTATTGGCTCTAAGACCAGATGCAAATAAAGGCTAAAATCCCATGTTAGTGCTCATCAGTTGAGAGCCCTTTGTTAAGCTGTATAACTCTGTGCATAGTTTTCTTATCAGCAAAGTCAGAAAATGTATCTACCTGATGGGCTGATTATAAGGCTGGGATGAGAGAATCCGTGCAATCAGCCCTCACTGACAGATGCTGCCCAGTTCATGAGTGCTGCTGCTGTCCTCCTGCCCAGGTACCCAGCTCACAGGAGTGCCGGAGTTAGAGTCCCAAGGATGTTCTCCACGGCTACATGCTTGATCCAGGCCTATCAGGTGAGTTGGCTCTTTGCTGGTGGTTTTTCTTCTATTGCTGTACAAAATTCCAGACAATAATGTCTGTCATTTATTTTTATAGATATAGTCCACTGAAAGCCCTCATTCTCAAATTTAAAACAAAGACTCTTCGTGTACCTGAATAGCAATGTACACATAGTTGGCACAGCTTCACAAACATACCATACATTTCTTTTTTTTTTCTATATATATTCAACAAATGTATATTGACTACCTACCATGTGACAGATATTATTTGTTGGCGGAATCAGGCATCATCAGCAAACAAAACTGACAAAGCTTCCTGCCCTCTATGGAAGGCATCTGAGGAAAAGACCAGATTTCATAGCAACATGTTATTCTCATTATAAACTTTATCATTGGAATACTAAAGCCAGATCATCCCCCTTCTCCTTGGTCAGGTTACCCACCTAATTCAGGCTGCTACACAATTGTGAATGCCTTTGTTTTTTTCTGCTGAAGCATCCTTAAAAAGATACCTCACAACTCAATATTTGGCTTTTCTTAAATATGATTTTTAATTTTTTAAATTTGTATCTAGCGATTTAATTGAAAATGGAAAATTCTCAATTTTCCAATTAAATCTCTGTTCCAATCAACATTATACCTTTTAGGTTGTCATTGCCATTTTTTAAGTTTAAGCCACTTTAGGGATTTTGAATTTGGCTGCCTATAAATTAAAGGTGAAGGTAATCATTGTGTTGCATTAGTACATTTTGTCAACTGAGAGTGGTTTCCTTGCTCTTAGTGTAGAAAAAGTTTATTTTTCCAATGTAGATTAACAGGGGAGATAAAGAAAAACAAAATCAATGATTTACATGGATGAGAAAAGAAACTTTTCCTCAAGGATTAAGGAAAATTCATACCTTTTATGTCTTTTGAAAAGTTTTTAATTTTAATGTGCCCTTTAAATATTTTTTTTAAATATTTCCTATTTTAAAATGTACTCCCTGAGAGAAGGAATTGATACCTTTGTTTGAAATCAAAAATAGCATGCATAGAGACTGTTTTTCTAGTTAGTTGAAGCTTTTTCCCTCTCTCCTTTACATCAGTGAACCAGCATCTTGCCCGTCAGACCCTACAGCATGCTTGGGCTCATGAAGTGTCTGACACATCCTTTTTGGAGGATCTACCATGCCCTTGCTCCCATGACTACATGAATTCTTCTGTATGTCTTTTCTCACAGGTGAGTACTCTCTTCCTGGCCCCCCTGTGGAGTGGGGAAAGGAGGCTCTGACATTGTGCTTGTGCAAACATAACTGAAAGTTTTCCGAGTCTCCTGCATCTTCATAGATGATTTTTTATTTTATGCTTGGACAGTAGTTCTTTAAATAGAATATTCTCCCATGGAAAACGTCCACAATGCTGAGAGTACACCTTGCAAAAGGTAAGTCTAGAATATAGGGTGCCTCCTCAGCATTGCCCAGAAGCTGAAGTTAGGACTCTCTGGAATACCAAAAACAAATTTAAAGCAGTTCATTAGTGTAAGAAATTATGAAAACTGTGTGGCGCCATTACCCATAGATGAAACAAAGAGCCACCACGCAAGCGCAGACTCAAAGCCCTGAAGAGGAAACCATTGATAGGGCTCTCATTTATTCTGTAGAAACCCACTTGCCTGTTTTGAACCAGTTTTCTTTAGAGCATATGTCTCACTGTGCAAATAAAATGGTGTATATATCCTAGTCACTTGGCAAAAATTCTGTCATTGCTTCAGGGAGATCCATTTTCGGCCTGAAGCATGGAGCTGGTAATAGATGGGATTTGGAACTTCCCAAAGAAAAAACCCTACTGCAAATTTAGAGAGTTATTTTTTTCTTTTGTTCCCCATAATATTGTTGCTAGATGGGACTACCTGTTTTGCCTAGAAGTTAAATATAGAGGCCTAAATCAGTTTACTCCCACTCATTCTAAATGAAAACATGTTTGTTTCTGTTCAATGAGATGAGAAATATTTGGGGCGCTTCATGATATCTCCATCACCCACTGCATTTTTCCATTTGATGTATGTTTCCGTATGTATTTAACTTTCAAATGCCCTTTAAAAATCTATTTGATATTAAATGTAAAAAAAAAAAAAAAGCAAGATGCAAAATTATTATAGGATGCATTCACAGAAATTATAAAATGCAAAAACTATTTATGGAGGAAGATTTGTAGAATATATGTCAACATATTGCTTTATTATTGTCCTTGGTTATGAGCATGGTTTTTGAAACCTGCTTTGTAGTTTTGGTACCATTGGTACCATCAACACTGGTACCATCGAGGCATTTTTCCCTCTTTTTCAGCCTTGCAAATCACACGTGAGGAAGCTCATAGAAGTGCCTCTCAGACAGGCTGTTACTTTGCTTTCACCAATAAATCATTCACAATTAGAAATAGAAAACTTTTCTTTCCAGTGCAAATACATTCCTTTCAAAAGCAGTTCTCTTTTTTGTGAATGATGTGTAGTGTCTAAGAAATTAGGTAACCTTTATTTGTACATTGCTCTAATCAAAGTATCTTTTTGTGAGGTGAACTCAAGGTTACATGTTTAAGAAAAGCATCAGGTTAATTCCATTAGAAAAACTGTCTTATTGATAAACCTTTAACCATTGGAAAGACACCATTAGGAGGCCACACAGGTGTATATAGCTGGATAGAATTTGACGACTGACAAAAAACAATAGCCAACATTTGCAGAGTGTGGTCTTTTTAAGAACCAACATATCTTTCAGCAACAAATACATATTCACCTCAACATGCGATTCTCATGTGGTTATTAATATCACATTTTTGAATGTCCAAACTTTGGCATGTAGTCTAGCAGAGGTAAACTGATTTGCCTAAGGTCTTTCAACTGACAGAGGTAGAATTGTTTTCTATCTTCTGGCTCTAAAAACCTGTCCAGATTCTCCTGCAACACCATCCTTCAAAAAGACATTTCCACTGACTCTAATGATGGTGATGTCATGCTTTAGCTAGTAGTTAGCTGTGACTTAACTTTAAATATGGAATCTTTTTTTCCTATTAAGCAATGAAGTTTAGTTTGAAAATTCTTAAAGATGATAAACCCCTCTCCTTTTTCTCATCTTCTCTCTAGTCCTGAATGATGTTCCATATGTTTTACTGCCAAAAACAGATTCTTGACGTTCCTGTTAGGCTTTTCCACACCTTGTAATCATTTCTGCAGCTGTTAGCATTGCCAACAATTATATTTCCACTTTTAAAAAATTGTTACAAAGATGCAGAGAAAAAAGAGGAAAGCCAAGGAATAAACTACAAGCAATTACGGGATATTTTTGTGATGTGACATTTTGAGAACCGAGGGGTAATGCGTCACTGATACTGCACTACTTTTTAATATCTAGATTTTAATCTTTTGTATGAAGATAAAATTCATGTGCCTTAAACCTGCCCATGACATAATAATAGGCAGTTATTTTTCTAATTTTCAAACCATCCACATGTTTTAACTATGAGAAGAGTGCATATGTTGTATGATGGTGCCAAGAAGTAGATGTGTACAATTTACTAATACATCCTTTGGAAAATGTGTATTAATAACATGCTAAGGAGTAAATTGACAGTGTGCAAAGGGAGCCCATGAGTTTAAATGTATGGATTGTACACCTTGCATCTTCCCAGTTGGAGATTTAACAGGATTTGATGACCTAATGAGTTTATTTCTGAATGATTTATATTTCTTTGTCAGTTCGGTGATTTAGTATTTTAAATATTTTTAATCTCATTTTATTGAGATATGGCATTACTGTTTCTTTCCCATCACTTAACAGAAAGTTCCTCTCCCACTCAACTTTTGTTACTACCAATATTTTTTTTACAGTTACAAGCTGATTGGCTTGACATGTCTTAGGATATCACCCAAAGACAGTTTCATTTTATAAATACTAACCTCATTTTCCTGAATGTTTTCAAAAAGATGGAATTTATCCTCATATAGTGTATTCATGTTTGTAATTTTAGAAAGGATCATGTGACCTTGGTATTACACTGCTATGGAAGTCTGTCAGAGATCTTGTTTTGGGATAGAAGGACTCAGACATCCAAACTTTTAAACTAATGAACTTATTAAATTTTAAGACTCTGTAACAATGTTAATTTGAGATGTATAATATTTTGAAAGGTATGCTTTGCTTTGCAAAATGTATCAGCTTCATTTTCACATTATGTTGGAAGCTTAACATGAAAGAACATGGCTGAAAGGAGACCACAGGTAAGCATACTGTAACAAAAGTTAATGCCATCATGTTTGTGTCTTTGCCTGTGGTTTTTTAAGTGTATAATGTTTAATGTTGATTTGGCCATCAAATTCAGTTTTCTTTTGTTAAAAAAATTTCTGTAAATGAGAAATGTACTGAATCCTTTATTTAGCAGACCAAAGATGGGTGATGATGGCTGAACAGGTTTAAACCACAGTAATTTGAAAATGAAAATACCTAAAATGATGTCCTTTCTCTTCCACTCAGTGTTTCTTCACCAAATGAAGTCCAGTTTGCTCCGAATTTGTTGCCAATAGGAGCAATGTTATCGTGAATCATGGTTTAATATACCTTGAAAATGGCACATCTATTCTGTGATAGCATACCGGTTTTAGCCTCTTTGTAAAATACGAAGAAGAGTTTGTCAACCAGAATAACCTGGAACCTGGCAATTCAAATACTATTCAAAGCAGATGTTTTATCTAGTAACTAGAACTAAATGTTAGGTCTCATGACAGTTCAACATTTACTAAGCAAGTTTAATAACAGAGTAAGCCCTCTGTATCCAGAGCAGAGACCAGCACACCACATTTACATATACAAATTCTGCCTTTAGCCTTCTGAAAGGGCCCAGAACTATTGCGGCAAGCAAAAGAGTCTTTGTAATATCCTAAAATCCATATAGTACTCTATATTTTACACATTTTAATAGCTAGTCTAACAAATAGCAAGTACCATGCTTTATTCTCTGCATGTATTATTACAACTAATCATTGGGATAATCTTATAAAGTAAGTACTTTTGTCTCGGCCTACAGGTGAGAAAACAAAAGTTAAATAGATCACCCAGGGCCTTGCTGGAACGTGTTGAGCAGGGATTTCAGCCTGTTCCGTCAGACCCTGGAAGCTGTGTTCTTAACCATTAGCAATACATCATCCCAGGCATGCCCTACGTGATGAGCCTCATAACCAGTTTTGTGATGGATAGTATTATCCCCATTTCACAGATGGCAAAACTGAAGTCCAGAGACTCTAAGTGACCTACTCAAAATTACAGTCATGAGCAGTGGCACTGAGATGTAGGGTCTTGCTACTCTACCTCTCATGGTCCTCTTTTCTGTTTTGTGTAGGTCTCCACTACCACTACTCGATTCTCTTCTGCTGCTGGAAAGGATGTATTTTATACATTTCTGTTTCTAGCTTGGAACAAAACACTCTGTGGGTCTCTGCTTGATCAGTGACCCCTCTAAACTGCGCCCCACTACAGCAGGAATGGCATAAGATGCTTCAATACACAGCATCTTTTTGTTCCCACCTCACCCCCAGAGCTGTAATAGGTAGGGCCAACCAAATGTAAAAGAGATGATTTGTCTTGGTCACCCCTAGTTTCCCTTTTCTCGGCCTTGTATTTAACAGGAATATTCTTTAGTTCCCCTTATGTTCTAAAGCACCTCCCCACCCCAAAAATAGCAAAAGAGCTGTGAGTCATTTTCACTTTAGTGTGAATGTGCCTTCCTGATTTCGCCAAGGCTGTTTTGCCTAATCCTTTTAATCTAATTTAGATTAGAATTTAATAGCAGAATGAGAGTCTCTGGATATCTTGGCTTCTTCCCTGAGAATAATGAACTGGGAATTGTTGGTCTAGACATCAAAAGTACCAGAGACCTATTGCTCAGAGATGTTTGGGCTGTACAATTGCTGTAGATTTGGCATTTGAAGCTGCCTTTTTTGAGCAATGGCCTTCTCAGCCCAGGCTCTCTCGCTCTTTCCATCTCTCCGCTTGAACCAGGTGGACTCTGGCCCTCCACTCCTTCCAGCTTGTCAGTGATACAGAGAACATTCTCCATCCTTCCAATGATTGCATTCCTTCACCTTCGTGGGGCCCAAGTGCAGATGGAGTGGCTCTTGGGAGCAGCCTGGGCTTATAGTGCAGCTCTCTGCTACCTGCAACAGGCTGGTATTCGGGGAGCTTGAATGCACCACTGATGGTTATTGTAGGTATGGAAACTAATGACTAAGAAGGGAGAAAATAATACCAAGTAGTTGGTTTGGCTGAACACAAGTAAAGACACTTACAGTCACTGGTGTGAACTGCTCATTATCAATGTCTGATTACAATGCTGCACACTAATGATATGCATGTCATTAAATATGTCAGATTAACTTTGCTGTAAAATTTATGACAACATTAAATTTTATTCACATGCTCAGCCTTCATAATTTATTGCTTATGTAGCATGATTATAACTTCAGAAAAACCTCCAAGATGGTGTTGCCTTGATGACTACACTGCTTATCCGTGAGTCTAGTTTCCCGTTCATTTGAAATGTTTGCATCGCAATGCAATAGTTGCTAGCTCTGTCTCAGGCACTACCAGTACCCAAGCAATTCCACTTGCCCAGTGATTGAAGCTGAGGGAATTACTCCCCTCTCTTTATGAATTCCCTTATTGTGTATTATTGATCGATTCAACCAACTCTTATTTGACCCTAGCATGTAACATGCATTGTGCCAGGTAGTGTGGATTTAGAATATGGATTAGAAACTGATTCTGTCCTCAAATTGCTCCTGGTCTAGTAGAGAATCATATCACTTTATAGATGATTGTTCAAGAAGGAAGCATGTTCAAACATGAATAAAAGACTGCCTCTTCTGACGTTGTAGGTGTGGAATAACAAAGCTGTTCCTCTATTTGGTTTCCAGAAAACATCTCCAAAGCTTTACCAGTCATCGTTTTGTGCTTTCAGAAATGAGTAACATTGTAGGATAGTACTTATTGCATTGCCTCTGCTTTGTGTGCTAGCTGAGCATTTGTAAATGGAAGGCATTCATGGGTAAAATGTGTTCCCTTTAGCCAAATGCACAGTGGTAGTGCCTTTTTAGAATCCAAGCTAAAGATGTCATCAGATGCCACATCCACACACTTCAACTAGAAGAACTTTGCTATTTACAACAAAGGCAAATGCTATCAAGAAGTAGGCTTAGTATCACAGGAAGCGGAGCCAAATATGTTCTTGAAATTTACAAGTTGACCTAAAAATAATGTTTTGGGAAGCCATGGCTTGCCATCAGCTCTCAAAAAATTGAGCGTGGCAGGAGAAATCAGGGTCAGGAATGGAACAGGGATAGTCAACAGCAGACAGAACAGAGAGAGGGCTAGCATTGTTCCTGAAGTCCAGTGACTGCCCAGGTTCTAGTGCGGTACTGGCAGTGGATAAATAAGTGGATCCAGCCTAGTGTGGATAGAAGGTTCATATGGAGAGAATGTAGAGAACTGACTTTTAGCCCTTCCAAAGAATTATATGTTCCAACCTAGCAATAAATGCAAGGTATCAGCTTAGAAAATGCATGTATTAGTAAATGCCTAAGATGAGGAAAGATCTGGGCATGCCTAAAGCCCATGCCATTTTTCTCTCTCCACCCCAAACCTGTGCTATGTGATTAGTTGCCTCTATTGGAAACATTGCCACCACCTGCTTCTTCCAGCTGGGACTTCAGGACCATCTTTGAATTCTCCTCGGCTCTCCACACCCGCAGGGCAGCAACCCCTCAGATCTCTTTAAATATTTCTCAAATATCTGCCTTCCTTTTCAATCTCATGGCTTTGTCTGTGGCTATAGCCTCTTGAGAGAGGGTTTCTTGCCTCCATTCTCCCCCACCCCCACCTTCAATCCATTTTCCAAACCCATGTCAGTGGCTTCTCCTGCTTGCACAGAAAATGAAGTTCAGTTTGCATTAGAGCCTTGGCTCACTTTCCCAGCCTCACCTCCAGTGACCCCCTTCTCTGCCCTACTGCAATCCTTCTGAGCCCATCTTTCTCTCTCAACACACCAGGCAATTTCACACCACTATTCCTTGCCTATGCTCTTCCGTTGGCCCAGCTCACTACCTCTTTGAAATGTTCCAGCCCCTTCCAGGCAGAATTAATCATTTTGTATTTGTATTTCTAAAACCAAGATTCCATTCTCTGTTTATCATGGCGATGATAGCTATTTACTTGTCGCTCTTAGTTAGCTTTGTAACACCTGGCACAGTAACTGAAACAGAGTAGATGCTCAAACATGGATTTATTTTTAACTCAAAATGAGGTGAATATTTGAGGATGCCAGAATCTTTGAGTCAAAAAGATGTGGCTTGGTTTTTATATCAGGCATGGCTCTTTGTTTCAAGTAGTAAAACAACCTTAGTTCATTAAGGCAGGAAGAGAAAGAATTCAAGGCTGTTGAGTTGCCCACAGGCTCTGAGAGGTTCGTGGAGACAGATGTTGGTGGCCCCAGAGGAAGGAGCAATACAAAGACCCTCCACAGAGAACCCATTCTCCCACTGCTGCTGGGTGCAGACTCTAGCTGTACCTCCCATACCCCAAGCCTCATGCCAGACTCTGCTGCTCCCTCTGAGTAGGAATGTGGCTCCCAGTGCAGCTGCCACCCCAGCCCAAATGGATTCCCTGCAGCCCCTCCTCACCGCATGTCATGCCAAGAGTCAACACTATCTGACTGACTGAGCCTGTATCACATGTCTGAGCCCTAGCTGCAAGGGAGGCTGGTAAAGCAGGCATCTGGCTTCTGTGGAGTTGTTGGTCTCTGCCCCTCATCAAGACTCATGAGGTACTGGGTATGGCCATAGTGGCTCACACCTGTAATCCCGGCACTTAGCACTTTGGGAGGTCGAAGCAAGGGGATCACTTAAGACCAGGACTTCAAGACCAGCATGGACAACACAGTGAGACCCCATTTCTACTGAAAGAAAAAAGTACAAAAATTATCCAGGCATGGTGGTATGCACCTGTGATCTGAGCTACTGGGGAGGCTGAAGCAGGATCACTTGAGCCCAGAAGGTAGAGGCTGTAGTGAGCTGTGATGGTGCCACTGCACTCCAGCCTGGGCAACAGAGTGAGATCCTGTCCCCACCCCACTGATAAATTCATACATACAAACATACTCATGAGGTGGGAAATCCCCAGATTCAGCTCAGTTACTGGGTGGCGCTGCAGATGGGGCGCTGGGGTGACAGAAGGTGCAAAAAGAATGACAGATGTCCACTAGAACTTTCTTTCAGCACACCAGAACCCTGGTTAAGAGTTTCCTTTGATGGTATGTCTGAGACTTAGCAGGAAAACCATGGCATACTCAAATTGAGTGACTGGAGGATAATTGAATAAAGGGAACATTTACAAAGGATGGGCAGGATGCAGGGAAGCCACCAGGAACAGATGCACTCCAGGGCCAGTAGCACTGGAGAGCTTTTACCATCCGAGGCCTGAAGAGGCAAGGGTAAGGGTGGTTATCAGACCTGGAGACAAACACAAGGTTTTGTGTGTGAAGAGGTCCCTGGCAGGAGCCAAGACTGCATTAGAAAGACACAGCCAGCCTGGGCAACTCCTCAGTCGGGAGTTAAGTACTCCAATTCTTCCTTCCTTCCCCATGGTCCCCTGCTGGGGCTTTTCAAAAGCCCTGTGTGGAAGCCAGAGGGCCAGGGAGCCCCTAGTCCTCTAAATGAGCACAGAGCATGTTGAAGAAGGGCAGAGAGTGGATCTGGAGGAACAAGTAGAAGACAAGCTGCCTATGAGACTTTATCAATATGTCACCAACATTTTTCTATTCATTTTATTCAATATCTCCTTTGGGGATGTCACTTCACATATTAAGAACCTGAGCCCACAAGATCGATGTGATCTTAAAGTGTCCTCCTATTGAATTTAACAAGCTGCTATTTCCCGCCTCATTTGCTATTTAGGATGCTCTATCGTATGGTTCAACAATTTGTACCATTAACGGTTAGCAAATGCTAGCCAAAAATTCATGTTTTTCCTTCCTGGGCTTGGGAAAAGAGGATGTGACATGTGACCTGCACAAACACAGTGTCAAGAATCTCTCTTTGTAAGTCTCCATGTAGAAATTCTCCAGGATTTGTGTCAGCACACGAGATTCCCTGCTGCTCATCTCTGCCTCCTCTTCATCAATATCTACCCTCCTAAATAAGGCATATAGAAGAATGGTCATAAAGTTGAACCCCATACAATTACTAGCAGCTGTAGGTCTTCCCAAGGATTCAGGCACTATAACCCCTGATCCTTTCAAAACATCTGGTGACTTGTGCTAAAATAACCATTTACTTTGAAAAAGCGTACTGAAGAGAAAGCTTCATCCTTTGTCTTTGCATGGATGATGGGTTCCTTTACAGAATATGGAAACTGATTGTTTTCTCATAAACCTCAACTAGGAGAATTGTAATCCTGTGTTATTTAGGTAAAAGAATATTCATTTTTCCTTTTTAAAAATTACAATAATAGAATTATTTTTAAGATGCAAATGATGGAGAAGTGCACCGCAATGGGCAAAAGTCACCCTTTCTGTGTGCCCACTTCCCTTGGTCCCCCCTCAATATTAACAATATGGCAGAAAAAGATTTTTCTAATTGCATGATTACAAGTGTGTCCTCAGGGATTGCTGAGGATGTGGTCTTGGAACAGTATTTATTTCTCCTTCAAGGTCCAGGCAGCTGGTGGGTCTTCAAGCCCAAGACAGAAAGTATACCATGTCTCACTCTGGGAGAACAAAACCCATTTGCAAAGCTGTAAACTTGGGTGGCGTCCCATGACAGCCACTTGCAGGGGACTCCAGAGCCACTTCTGTTTACTTAAATATTAATTGTACATTTCTGATTTACCACTCTCCTAAAATAGGAACTTGCTGTCTTATTTTAAAAAAAAAAAAGTGAAGGAACCAACTAATAATAAATATCTGAAATTTCTAGGCATGATTTTTGAACATGTGTAGACATCAATTCTTTGCCAAGAGCAGAATATATATGCTTTTGTTACAGTGTCATGAAATGAATATAATTGATATTTAATGTGAGTGTAAGAAATGCTTGTTTCCAGTGTTACACCAAACACAGTTTTCTATATGGATTTTAGGGATGTGTTGCAAGGATTCTGAAAGCTGCTTTTCTGTGCTTTGTCCTTCAGGGAGAACTCCCTGACCTGGCCCACCCTGGCTCTTCTCTTCACTTGACTCCTAGATCACATGGTATCAGTATCCCTCATAATAGCCTGTACTCATCTGATCACAAGTACTGTTAATGAGCTGGCTTTTGTGTACTAGGCTCATCTGAGCAGATTCTAAGTTCCTGGAGGGCAAGGAAGTTGTTCCAGGATGACACAAATAGCCATTTGACTGAGTTCCTCCATCCTTCTTTTCCGTAGCTTTCCTACAAGACCCTAAACCTCTGTCTTCATTACAACTATGGCAAATATCCATGCTGGACAAATACAAATGCCCACGCTTGGCAGCCGTCTCTTTCACCCATAGCCTATTCACCACAGATGTTACCTCCTTAAACACACATGCACACATACAGCCTGACATGGTGACACACACCTGTAATCACAGCAGTTTGCGGGGCCGAGGCAGGTGGATCACAAGGTCAGGAATTCAAGACCAGCCTGGCCAAGATGGTGAAACCCCATCCCTACTAAAAATACAAAAAATTAGCTGGGTATGGTGGCACATGCCTGTAATCCCAGCTACTCGGGAGGCTGAGGTGGAGAATTGCATAAAACAGGGAGGCAGAGGTTGCAGTGAGCCAAGATCGCAGCACTGCACTCCAGCCTGGACAACAGAGAAAGACTCCATCTGAAACCACACACACACACACACACACACACACACACACACACACACTCACACACACTCTCTCTCTCTCTGTCTCTCTCTCTCTCTCTCTCTCTCTCTCACACACACACACACACACACACACACTGTGGAATGAATCTGTCATCTCTCCTAGGTTACTGCAGTTGGTTTCCCATCATCCATTCTGAAGGCCTCCCATCAGTTCTTTACACAACAGAGTTACATTTTTAAAATGCAAATCTGATCGTATCACTCCTTACTTAAAATTGTTCAATAGCTTCCTATTTACCATTCAAGAAAGACAACACTTTTCCTAGAGCCTAGAAGGTCTTGCATGGGCTGACCCCACTTGCCTCTCTAACTCATTTATATTAAGTTCCCCTTTGTCTCTGACCCCCCAGTCCCACTGGCCTTCTTCCAGTTCTTCGTTGCTTTTCCCTGCCCCTGGGCTCTTGCACATGCTAAGTCTACCTGGAAGGCTCTTCCAGTCCCCTTAGTAAAATTTCCTATTCATCATTCTCTGTTAAATCAACACTATATGAGTGAAACCTTCTTTAAGGTCCCTTGTGTGTGAATAGCTTAGCCATGCACCTGTCCTTAAGATTTCCAACAGTTGATAATTAAGCAATTATTTTTGAGCATTTGTTTAATGTCTTTCCTATAAGACTGAGGTCCGTGAGGGCATATGCCAAATCCATTTTATTTGGATCCAGTTTTTATTCATCGTTATGTCTGCTGCACCACATCTGGTATATGGTAAGCTCTTTCATAAATATTATCTTAAAATATAGAAAGAGATCAGGTATGGTGGCTCATGCCTTTAATCCCAGCACTTTGGGAGGCCAAGGCAAGAGGATCACTTGAGGCCAGTAGTTCAAGACCAGCCTGGGCAACATAGCAAGGCCCTGTTTCTACAGAAAATACGAAAGATAGCCTGTCGTGGTCCCAGCTATTCGGGAGGCTGAGGCAGGAGGATCACTTAAGCCCAGGAGCACTTGGCTGCAGTGAGCTTTGATCAAAACACTGCACTCCAGCCTGGGTAACAGAATGGGACTTCAGCTCTTAAAAGTAAATAAAATCACAAATGAAAAGTAAAATAATAAAATATAAAATGCATAAAGAGGGGAAAGAGGGAAGGGAGGGAACAGAAAGTAGGAACAGAGTAAAGAAGGTGAGAAGAAAGTTGAAAGATTGTTAAAACACTAGCTCAGGTGCCTACTTTTAAAACTATTCAAGTGCTTCCACACTTGCTATTTAAAATTGCTTTTTTGTTGTTGCAGTTTTGCTGTGGAATTTGCTAAAATCAGTTTCTTTTAATATCTTCCTTTGGACTACATGCTGTGTATAAAAATAAATGTTTGTCATGTAGATCCTCTTCCTCAGCCTGACTCAAATACTCAGCTGCCTGCTGGACACCTCCGCCTGGATTTCCTACCAACCAACATATGCAATACTTAACTCATTATATGCCCTCCCCTGAAAACTCTGATCTCTTTCTCATTGCAATACCCCAGTTAATGACTCTACAACCCATCAAGAGATAGATTCCTTGCTTGCTGACTGCACAGCCTAACAACCACCAAATCCCACCGATTTGCCCAACAAATACCTTGCCCACCTCTCCATTCCTGCTGCCATCATGCTAGTGCAGTCACTTATTTTGTCTCGCCTGAAGGATTGCAGTAATCTCCTAATTGGCCTCTGAGTTCCAAATTTAGGAACCTCCAGCCCAACCTCCCCTGAATTGTCCCAAGAGTTCTTTCTTGAATGTGCAAATCTTACCACGTCAGTTTCTGTAGATAATTCCCCAATGACTGGCTATTGTCCTTGGATTAACAGTGAAACATAACATGGCATTCAAGGCATTGTGTCCCTCATCCCGTGTCTTGCTCTCCAGCCTTATGTGTCATTGCTTCTTGAACTCTAGTCACACGGAGCTGCTTGCCTTCTCCACACCAACCACGTGGTGCTGATAGACACCACCATGTCCCCTTGCCTGGAATGCCTCCACCTCAGATGATTTGGCAAACTTCTCACCCTTCAAGTTCAAATGAAGTTATTCTCTTTACACTTGCTTTGTTCCTTGTGACAGGAATGGGGCAGGAAGTCTGGTTAGAGGTTACTGATATGGTCCAGCTGAGACTAGGATAGCAGCTGGGAGAAGGGAGTAGAGAAGGCCTAGGACATGCTCTAAATGTTGAGTTTTCTGGACCTGCCAAAGGATTGGATGTGGGGGTGAGAGGAGGGGAGGGATCCAGGAGGAATCCTAATCAGAATAGGCAGTTACCACAGCAGGAACAAAATTATAAGGAAAAATATTTACATACCATTATCCAACTTCAATAACTATCAACTCCTGAGCTGATTTTTTTTCTTTATACTCTTACCTGCTTCTTCCCCCTGCCCACCCTTACACACATAGTGGATTATTTGGAAACAAGTCCAAGACATTTCATAATTTCATCTGTAAATATTCCAGCCCCATCTCAAAAATAAAAAGACTCTTTAAAAAACATAACCATAGACTGGGCCGGGTGGCTCACCCCTGTAATCCCAGCACTTTGGGAGGCCAAGGCAGGTGGATCACCTGAGGTCAGGAGTTTGAGACCAGCCTGGCCAACATGGTCAAACCTCATCTCTACTCAAAAATACAAAAAATTAGTCAGGCATGGTGGTGGGCGCTTGTAATCCCAGCTACTTGAAAGGTTGAGGCAGAAGAATCTCTTGAACCCAGGAGGCAAAGGTTGCAGTGAGCCAAGATTGCGCCACTGCAGTCCAGCCTGGGTGACAGAGTGGGACTCCATCTCAAAAACAAAAAAAAAAACAAAACGCATATAATGCCGCTCTTAAAAATATTAATGAAGAAAGAACAAATGAAAAATTAATAATATAGCTTCATATCACCAGGTATACATTTAGTGTTTACAGTTTCCTCCTTGTCTTCTTTTTTCCAATTATTTTATTTTTTGTTGTTTGTTTGTTTGTTTGTTTGAATTGGGATCTAAATTGTCCGTGTATATTGATTCATTGCTATGTTCCTTAAGTCTGTTTTAATCCCCCATCATATCTATCTCCCCTGCTCCTCCTCTCCCCTCTTTGCCCTTCCCTCTTTCTCCCTCACTCATTTTCCTATTTTTGTTGTTGTTATTAGCATTGTTACTGTGTTAAAGAAACCTGGATGTTTATTTTATAAAGTGTCAGAAATTCTCTGATTGCTTCTTTACGGTGCTGTTAACCTGTTCCTGTGTCTCCTCTATTTCCTGTGAATTCGCTTTATCAGACACAGGGGTTTCCTTGTTTTGTTGCCTTTGGAAGAGGACAGCAAAGTTGTTTCATAGTACTTTATATCTCCATCAGAAAGTTCATAATGTCTTGTAATCTTTATTTTTGTGACATTAACAGCTATTGATGATTATTGCCTATATATGTTCATTAATTACATTTTGTAAAAACGGCAACCTGTAATAAATATTACTATTTTTCTCATTTGTCTACTTAAATGTTCTGTAAAGATAAAATTTTCCTCTTCCTCCATTTGGCTACCTTGGGGTATAGTTCAGACAGAATAGGTAGGATATGTAATTTATTTTTCCCTGTACATACCAGTTTTCAAATAATGAGGTGTTTCCTGGCATCTTCCAAAGGTGGTGAATGAATGTGTACTTGTTAATTTTATAATTAATATTATTAAGAGTTTGTGTGTCAAATATGTTTTATATGGTGATTGCAGTTATTATATTTATTAATATTTAAATTGTTCAGTCTTTGACCAGTGGGAACCCAATCAAGTCAGCTCTGGACTATTTCTGACATGGCCCTAATTGTCTTTGATAGCTTCCTTGCTTTCTGGTATGTTCCAGGTTCATCTTGTATATATCCCACCCCAGACTGGGATTCAGCCATTTCTCTTAGGATTCCTGATTCCTTTAATGGGAAATGTTATTTAGAGACCACATCCTGAGCAGTAAGTGTGCTCATTGCTTCTGGGCTGGTTATTATTTACAGTGGACAAAACACAAATTTTTAAACAAAAAGATTAATCCAATCTGATACGTCCAATTCTAATTCAGGACAACCTTGTTTTTACTTTACTTCATGGACATCACACCTGTAAATATATCCCTTCTCCTATGCTGAAAATCCTGATTGTAAATAACTTCAATGTAATTACTGATTTGCTACATCCCACATGACACACAATCAGCCTCAGAGTAATTATACAAAAATTGTGATAACAATATGGCTAGAGAAAAGAGTTCAATTTTTTTCTCTTTGTCTTTCAGATCTATCCCACCAAGGATGTACAGTCAAATTATTGTGTAATAGAATTACTTAGAATAGATCCTCTGTGTGTAGCTATACCACCAACTGTTTATATAGTTGGGTTCACTTGCTTTATTTTTCTTTAAATTTTTAAGAATTTCTTTTTAAACAATTTAATTTTGTCATTATAAAAATATTTACATGATTGCAAAGTCAAAACCACAAAATGAGGTATTCAAGATCTAGCATCCCCTCATTTCCCCCTCTTTTCCTGTAAGTAACCATTTAAATATATGATTTATCATTTCGCTTTTTATATAAGAAAATGTGTTGACATACTTTTCTCCTCTGTGTCATTCTTACTCGGTATATCCTGGCAATGACCTCATGGTGACAAATGCAAGTCTTTGTATTGGGCTTCTGGCTCTAAGTACTAAATAAGGACAGCGAACAAGCATTGAATAGATAGCCTGCAGATTCTCACTCCTCTCTCTCATATGCCACAGCTGGTCTGTCAGGATATAACTTCAACTCCAAAACCTGACCCTTTCTCACTGCCTAACTACCACCATCATGACCCAGGGACATCACCTCCTGCTAAGATTACCACAGTGGCCTCCTCACCATTGTCTGTATCTCCCCTGCTCTGGGCCCTGTGGTTTGTTCTCAGTACAGCAGCCATCAGGCCCAGAAGAGCAAGGATCTTCTCACCATGACTAGAGCATTGCTTCTTCCTCTGCCATGTGTCGATGGCCCTGAAAGTAAGAGATGATGAGGGTCGTATGGTACTTCCTTCCATCAGGTAGACACCTGACAGATATAATCAGCGCTTGTGGTTTATATGATGTTTATTATGTTAATATAAGCTTTGTATATGTCAATTAAGTCCTTTAATCCCTACAACAACACAGTGAGGATGGTTTCACAATTTTCCTGATGTTAGAGATGAAGCCATTGAGACACAGATGGGTTTGAAAATTGCTTGCAACCAGGTAGTTCACAAGTGGTAGAGTTGGGACCAGGATCCAGGGAGCTTGGCTCTAGAGTCCAGGCTTTAAGCCAGTGCTATCCAATAGAACTTTCAGTGATGAAGGAAATGTTCTGTATCTATGCTGTCCAATATGGTCACCTCTAGCCACAAATAGCTACTGAGGATTTGACATGTGGCTAGTTCAACTGAGGACTTTTTTTTTTTTTTTTAAACAAAATCTTGCTCTGTTGCCCAGGCTGGAGTGCAGTGGCACTATCTTAGCTCACTGCAACCTCTGCCTCCCTGGCTCAAGTGATTCTCATGCCTCAGCCTCCCAAGTAGCTGAGATTACAGATATGCACCACCATACTTAGCTATTTTTTTTCTTTGTGTGTGTGTGTATTTTTAGTAGAGACAGGGTTTCACCATGTTGGCCAGGCTGGTCTTGAACTCCCAATGTCAAGTTTATCAGCCCTCCTCAGCCTTCTACAGTGCTGGAAGTACAGGTGTGAGCTACTGTGCCTGACCGTGAACTCTGTTTTTAATTGTATTTAGTTTAATTCATTTCAATTTAAATGAGAACACATTGTCAGCCACGAACTCAGTTTAAATTGTATTTAGTTTTAATTCATTTCAATTTAAATGAGAACACATTGTGACTGTATTAAACAGCTCAGCTCTAAACCACTATATTATTGTGCTTTTTAGATATGACTAGAAGAATGGCACAGAGTTATTTAACTCTTAGTTGCAACTGTTATTTAAATCCAAAGATACAACATCTTTATGGGATTCTGGCTACCACCCATGAATTTGAAGTCTTCTAAATGGTGCCATCCATAATCTATGAAACATATGCCTCTCTAATTTCAAAGCACTGTCAGATCAAAAACAGTTATCCAAATACATTATGTTCCTTTTTATTGAAAGAAATGGAGGACGACCAAAGTGTTCTGACTCTAATTTGTCCTTACGTAAGGGCATAGGTGTGTAGATAAAGAAAATCTAATCATAAGAGGTAGGGCATGACATTGCAGATTTAGCTGAAATTTACAAGTTCTATTTCTATTGATTTTTTATTGTATTTTTTTTTATTTTGGAAAATTTAAAATGTATAAAACTGTTTTAAAAAGAAGAGGAAAGAATAATCCAAGAAATCTTCACCAACAGGAATTAATCACTGTCATATTTGAGTCAGTCTTTTTTCCTATGTATATAATATTTTTTAAACTATGTGAATTAATTCTCCCCTTTTTTTTAAAAAAAAAAAGCATATTATTGACTTAATCCTCCCCACCTTGTCTATCACTTTAATCACAGCAACTCTCCTTATTCTCAAGAAATAGATATTATTCTGAACTTGGTGTGTATGCTTTCAGTGCATTTTGTAAACTTTTACATGTATATTCACATATACTTAAAAGCACATAATATTGTTGATGTGGGAATTTTTTAAAAAAATTTCTATACATGATATCACACTGTGTGTTGTGCAGCGTCTTTCCACTTGTCATTTTTGAGCTGTGTGTATTTTGATAGATTTACATCTAGAAGTCATTCTATAATTATTAATTTCTAGGAACACACCACAGTTTATTCATTTCTTGCTGGCGGTTATTTAGGTTGCGTCAGTTTTTCATTATTTCCAATTATGTTGCAGTGAATGTCCTTGTACATATCCCCCAGTGCGTCTGTGCAAATATTTCTCTGTGCAGATAATGTTAAGATTATAGACTTCGCCCATCTTCGATATTACTAGGTACTCCTGAAGCACTTCCAGCTTGGCTATGGTGTAGACACCCACCAGCAGCGTATGAACACACTCGTTTCCCCACACTTACACCAACATCTGATACCAAACAACTTAAAAATTTTGCCCATCTGAAGTAAGTAGCTTATTGTGGTTCTATTTTGAATTTCCCTATTTGCTAGTGAAGTTCAACATCCTTCCATGTTCATTGGCCATTTGAATTTCCTTTTCAGTGAAATCCTTGAACCTATTCATTATGCTGCTTTCTTTTGAGTTGCTCATCTTACTGATTTGTAGGAGTTCTTTATCATTTCTGGTTAGCAGTCACCTCTTACTGAGCATGTTGGAAATATTTACTCCCTATGTACAGCTTGTCTTTTAACCATTTTACGATTTATTTTGTCAGGTAGAAGTTTTAAATTTTAGATTTAATAGTGGCTTCTAAAATTTCTTTTCTCATTCTTGTTGAACTGATTACAAGCCTTGTTAAATTGTCATGTGTTAAATTCTAGGAAAAGACAGGAGACTCGTGTGTGACATGCTGAATTATTGGCCGATTGCCATTTCTCAGAGAAAAATATTTTCTTGTGCATATTTATAGCATTTCCTTAAGGAGCAAAGTCCATTTTTATATCATTGTGAATGTTTTGTTGTGGGGGTAATGATTTTTTGATATCTAACAATAAAATGTTGACAGTGGTAAAATCTTTGTAATAGCTTATAAAGCAAAAATTGATTTTTCTCTTCTTTGCACACTCTTTGACAGTGTATATTCATGGCTCTTTTTCCTGGATTTTTCTAGTTATTTGGATCTGCTATCTATAATTATGCTGAAAATGATTTCATATGTTTAAAAATTATTTTAGATATCATCTGTCTTTAGACAGAAATCATAGCAGACTAGAGGCAGTCTACCAGCTTTGAATCCCAGCCTTCCCAACTATTAGCTGGAAACCTTAGGCAAGCCACTTTACTTTTTTGTTTCTTAGTTTCTTAATCTGCAAAATGGACTATCTATAAAATAGCATTGCAAGTGTTATGGACTGCTGTGAAGATGAACTGAGGGGTAACACATCAGAGGGTCCTGCAGCAGTGCTTGGCATAGAGAAAACACACTACAAGGCCAGCAGTCATTGTCCCTCAACTACCTTAAGATTCTTACAAATGAGGAGAAACACTGTAGAATTTAGTGCTCTCTGGAAAGTATATTCAAGTCAAAGAACAGCTGACATCTCTGTCGTTTCATATGCCATTAGTGACACCAAAAAATAGATGAATTACAGACAGTGCCGAGCACAACTGATCAATACAAAACTGTCTTTTTTTTTCTTTGAGACAAAGTCTTGCTCTGTAGCCAGACTGGAGTGCCATGGCACAATCTCGGCTCACTGCAATCTCTGCCTCCCAGGTTCAAGCGATTCTCGTGCCTCAGCCTCCTGAGTAGCTGGGACTACAGGTGCCTGCCACCACACCCAGCTAATTTTTGTATTTTTAGTAGAGATGGGGTTTCACCGTGTTGGCCAGGATGGTCTCAAACTCTTGACCTCGTGATCTGCCTGCCTTGGCCTCCCAAAGTGCTGGGATTACAAGCATGAGCCACCACACCTGGCCACAAAACTATCTTTTACAGATTCTCCCTCACACACTTTCAGCCACTTAAGTTCAGTGCTTTGTTACTACAAACACTTAAAATACAAGTTAAAAACACCAGAAAAACTCACAAAAGATATATCCTTCAACCACAACCCCAAAAGTCTGGCCCATCACAAGTGTGATGGTAAAGTTATCTGGGTGAGAATGTGTTTGACTCCGCCTGCCCCAGGAGTCCATGAAGCTCCGTGAGGGCCAAGGCTGTGTCCATGCCAAACACATGTTGGTGAAATTCAGTCATTTCTAGGTGCTTAGTGTCAGGTGGGTGCCGCCTTCATTCTTTGTTTTAATGGATAAATAATAAGTATATATTTATAGGGTGCAATGTGATATTTTGATATATATGTCCAATGTGGAATGATTGATCAAATCATGCTAAAAAATCCATCACCTCATATACTTATCTTTTGTGGTGACAATACTTAAAATCTCCTCTTTTAACAATTTTGAAATATACAGTGCATTACTATTTATTATAGTCACCATTCTGTGCAATAGATCACTAAAGCTTATTTCTCCTGTCTAACTAAAATTTTTCACCCTCATATCTCGCCATTTCCTCTCCAACCCCCTTTCCCAGCTTCTGGGAACCACCATTGTACTCTCTGCTTCTGTGAACTTGATGTTTTAGATTCCACATGTGAGAATCACAAGTGCGATCATGCGGCATTTGTCCTTCTGTGTCCATCTTATTTCATTTGGTGTAATGTTCTCCAAGTTCATCTCTGTTGTCTAAAATGACAGAATTTCCTTCTTTTTGAAGGCTGAATAGTATTCCATTGTGTACACATGTTTTCTTTATACATTCATTCAATAATGAACACCTTGGTTGCTTCCATAACAGCACTGTGAATTCTGCAGTAAACACAGAAGTGCAAATGTCTCTGTGGCTCACTGAGTTCAGTTCCTTTGAATCTCTACGTAGAAGTGGGATTGCTGAGCCCTATGGTAGTTCTATTTTTAGTTTTCTGAGAAACCTCCACATTGCTTTCCATTATGGCTGTGCTAATTTACATTCCTACCAACAGTGTACAAGGGTTCCCTTTTCTCCACAGCCATGCTAACACTTGTCTTCCATCTTTTTTAATAATAGCGATTTTAACAGGTGTGAGGGAAAGGGGCCCTTTGTTTTTTCCAAGCATTTTTCATGTGTTCTGCCCGCAGCTCCTGGCTAGCTGGATGCCAGGATCAGGGCATGTGAATGCCCTTTCACAGCTTCCCGGGAGTGCTGGGCTCAGAGTGGGAAGAGCTGAGTTTCAGGCCTGGTCCCTTACTAATAAACTATTAATTAATATAACCTCTCTGGCTTTAGGGACTCTAGGGGAGATGTGGTCATTAAAGACTGAATGAAATTAAAATGTGAAATGATGTAACAACGTGGGACTTTAAATAGTGAAAGTGGAATTTCACCAGAAATTACTTTGATGGCCACAACTAGATGTTAAAATGAAAACCGATACATACGTAGGACCGAACATAAGCCACATTATTTTATGTTTACATTTCTGCACTCTTTCCTTACCTTGGTAAATCATTTTGAAACAAACACCCCTCCCCTACCCTGCAGCCCTTCCATTCATGTATGATGCAATATTGAGCTGTGATATTTTCAGAAGTGTTTGCTGAGCAGTGGCAGCTTAACTAAAAGCATCCTCTCTATTTTGCTCTTGCTGTTGCATATGGGATCACTGCTCTCACCTGTTAACCCCCAGCAGAAAATCCGCCTGCTGAACAATAGCTTGCAAACGCAGCGTGGCACTCGGTGCTGGCATAAAGGAGTCAGCGAGCAGGGCGTGGGGTCAGCCTGCTGTTGGGGGCAGGCTG